GGGTATTTCTATAATAAATGTGTAAACTGAACCCATGTGTTGCTGCTCTGTCTGCCTTGCCTTGAGGGCCCACACCTTTAGTCAAGACCAGATAATATATTTTTACAGGAAAAAACATACCTTGGCAATAGCCTGTGATAGTGTCATCTGTTTTGACTTTACTTGCTTTGTGATGTGGGGCAACTTCTTTGCCTGTCTGCACTCAGATTTCTAGCCAACCTCAAACAATAACTCTTGGTAATATAATATAAATGATAATAAAGATTCTCTGTTCTTAACCTCCCTATACTTTTAAAATTTTTCTTTCTTTTTCTTTCCTTTCTTTCTTTCTCTCTCTCTCTCTCTCTCTCTCCCCCTCCCTCCCTTCCTTCCTTCCTTTTCTCTCTCTCTTTCTTGACTCTCGCTCTGTTGCCAGGCTGGAGTGCGGTGGCAAAATCTCAGCTCACTGCAACTCTTGACTCCCTGGTTCAAGCAAATTCACCTGCCTCAGCCTCCCAGCTAGCTGGGACTACCGTCACATGCCACCACACTTGGCTAATTTTTGTATTTTTAGTAGGTGGTGTTTCACCACGTTGGCAAGGATGGTGTCGATCTCCTGACCTTGTGATCCACCCACCTTGGCCTCCCAAAGTGCTGGGATTACAGGCGTGAGCCACTGTGCCCAGCCTAATTTTTATTTTTTTGAGACAATGTCTCATTCTGCTGCCCAGGCTGAAATGTAGTGGTGTTGATAACGGCTCACTGCAGCCTTGACCTCCCAGACACAATCTTCCCATCTCAGCCTCCTGAATAGTTGGAACTACAGTTGTGCACCACTATACCCGCTAATTAAAAAGAAAATTGTAAGCTGGGCGTGGTAGCTCACGCCTGTAATCCCAGCACTTTGGGAGGCTGAGGCGAGCAGATCACGAGGTCAGGAGATCAAGATCATCCTGCCTAACATGGTGAAACCCTGTCACTACTAAAAATACGAAAAATTAGGCATGGTGGCATGCACCTGTAGTCCCAGCTACTCAGGAGGCTAAGGATGCAGTGCGCTGAGACTGTCCCACTGCACTCCTGCACTCTAACCTGGGTGACAGAGCGAGACTCCATCTCAAAATAATAATGTAGAGATGAGGTCTCATTATATTGCCCAGGTTAGTCTTGGACTCCTGGGCTTGAGCAGTCGTCCTGCCTCAGCCTCCCAAAATGCTGGGATTACAGGCATTAGTTACCATGCCCAGCTTTTTGAGACAGGTTCTTGCTGTTGCCCAGGTTGGAGTGCAATGGCACAATCACAGCTTACTGCAGCCTCTACCTCTTGGACTCTAGCCATCCTCCTGCCACACCCTCCCAAGTAGCTGGAACTACAAAAGCACACCACCATGTCCAGCTAAGTTTTAATTTTTTTTAAGAGATAGATAGAGCCTTGCTATATTGCCCAGGATGGTCTCAAACTCCTAGCCTCAAGTGATCCTCCCACCTCAGCCTCCCAAAGTGTTGGAATTACAGGCATGAGCCACCGCACCTGCCCTCCCCTGTGCTTTAATGCTGATCCAGAGGTAACAGGTTCAAGGAAGGACCTCAGAGATCACCTCTTCAGCCCACATATTCAGGAAGAGTCTAGCAGAATTGAAAAGTAGAAGGCCACTTCTGTCCTTTGAAATGTGCAAGTTTATCCAGGAGGCTCCAATTGGCTTGAGAATGCAACAGCCTTTATTGTTGCAGCAACACTAACATATATGCCCCATTCCCTGTCGAGGCCTGTCCCCATCCCACCCCTTGGTTGTCAATGGTGTAGAACATTGGGATGAGGGGAAAAATCCCTAAGCAGAGCTGGAGGGAGGCAAATGGGACTGGTGAGGGTTGGGATCACCTGGGACCAGGGGTCCAACAGTCAGGATACCTGACTCCACACAGGGGCCTGGAACACTTGGGTTTTGAGTTCAAGATTTGGCAATGTCTTGACCTGGGTTGGAAGGTAGGATGGGGTCTGGAAAAACTTCGGTCCAGGGTTCAAGATTTGAGAGTGCCTTGCCCTAGGCCCCAGTTTGGGGCTGAGCACGGAGAAGGGTGGATGGGAGTGTCTCTGGGTTCACAATTTGAAATTGATCATGGATGCTCTGGCCTCAAGCCCCAGTTTTGGGGCTGGATATAGGTGGCTCTGGGTCCCAGGTCCAGGGCTGGGGAAGATTCTTGTCCTTAGGTAACGGGGCCTAGGTGGGAGGGATATCCTGCTTTGGGGCTGGCATGGGGGTAGGGCAGTCACATATGTCCTGTTTGGTTTGGGCAGGGTGCTCTAGGCTCCTGTTTTACGTTCTGGGAAAGGGCTCTGGGTCCCAATTATGGGCTGGGGGTGGGGTGGTATTCTCCAGGTCCTGGGTACAGATCACAGGGGCCTAGGATCCAGCCTCCTGCTCTTGTCCCAGCGCCTCTAGTAGCAGGCCCATTGGCGTCCGCTTGAGACCAATGCTCTCGATCTTGTTCTCAATCTTGTTCTTAAGGTTGCGCAGGCGCAACGAGGCGTGCACCAGGATCACTGTGGGCGGCACCAAGAGGAGGGGTCAGTGGAATAGACCTCAGCCTGCAGCCAACTGGGGCCCACCGAAGGGAATTGGCGCGCAGGCAGGCCAATGGAGTGGTGAGCGGCCAGGATGCCTCAGATCCTGAAAGCGTGGCCGACTAATTGGCTTGGCAACGTAGGCATGGCCAGGGAGGGATCCCGGTAACCCGGACGTGGCCAGTGGAAGGCATTTAACACCAGGAGTGAGATCGGAAAGGCGGTAATAAAAGGGGCGTTCCCAGAAGGCGGAATGATGTCCGGGAAGGCGCTTTTAACGGGGGCGTGGCCAGGCCCTCCGGGTTTCCCAGCCCCCTCTCAACCCAGGGACCGGAGCAGGGCTGGCCTGGTGCCTTAAGCGTGCTCTGGCCGCTTTCTCAGCTATCTCAGGGTAGTAGAGACTCACGAAGCACCGGCCCGGCGATGCTGAGCAGGAAGGTGCAAGCGCCGCCCACGACCCAGAGAACCAGGAGGCCGACGGCAAGCACTGCGGCCAGGCAGGCGGCGGGGTGGCTGCGGCGGCAGCGGCGCACAGCTGCGCGGGTCTCAGCTGCCCACACCAGCATGCCGAGGGCCACCGCCACTACCAGCGCGCTCAGAAGCGTGTGCAGCGGACGCACGTACCTGCGGATACAAGGGAACTAAGCTAGCCCGCCGGGCAGAGGGAAGGCCGCCCGGTTTCCCGGACCGAAACCCACCCTGGGCCCCAAGAGCCAGAGTCTCCCGTCTCCGGACACTCGAGCCCGGCACATCCTCCCACCAGCCCTGTCTCCAGCAGGCCCATCCGCCAAGGCTCCCGACTCACAGATCCCTGTGGACCCCTCCTTTCCTCCTTATCAATTCCACTGTCCTGTCTTCCTTAGGTCCCCACTTCAAGCCCTCCCATCCCGCTAGATGCTCCCCCCACCCCGGGCTCCCAACACTCCCCTGGACTTTACTGTTGTTGACTCTACCCCCATAGGGCCCCTCACCAGCGTGCCCTTTGACCCCAGCCCCTGCAGATCCTTCTTCCACGCCTTCTGTCTCCACACACTTCCCTCTCCCCAGGCCTATGGTCCTTATAGGATCCCCCTCCTGGCTTCCTCCCCTCCCAGTGCCCCCTCCAGGCTGCTGTTTCCCTATAGATTCCTCCCTCCATCATTGCTAGAACCTCTTCCAGGTCGTCAGCCCTACTCTGAACTTCCAGCCCTGCTCAAGTCCCTCCTCCAGATTCTCCCTTCCTCTCTGATCTCAGGCTTTCCAACCATGGATCCTCCTCCTGGGCCCAAGTTCCCCAACAGGTACCTGCCCCTGGCACCTTCCAATCATAGCCAGGCTCCCCTGCAAGACCAAATCCTCAATAAGTACATCTTCCACACCCTCCAACTTTACCGTCCATTTCCCTGTCTCTGCCCTAAGTACTCCAGGGTCGGCCTCAATCTGGCCCCATCATTCACATTACAACCCCCCGACACACGCCCATAAAGTACTCTCGTATCCCCCTTTCAGGTCCTCCTTTTCTTCAGGTTCACTTACTAGCCCACTTTCCCCTTCAGTCCCGCACTTTTCTCCATCCTCCCCAGGTCTTCCTTTCAGACCCCCATCCCCAGCAGGCAGGCTCTCCTCATCAGCCAGGCTCCATCTCCCTGAGGCCCTCCTTATAACCATGCTCCACCTCCCTCAAGGCCTCCCTTCCAAGCCCCTCAGGCCGTCCATCTCTATTGAATTCGTCCTTCCCGGCCTTGCATCCCCCTCAGGTTCCCCGTCCTGGTCCTCAAAGATCCGTGGGTTTATCCCCCACGCCTTGCAGACGTCCCCAGCCAACCGGCGCCTCCTTCCCTCCCTCACCCGGCGAGAGCGAGGCCGATGCCGAAGCAGAGAAGGTAGTTGGTTTGGTAGTAGAGGAGGTTGTTGATGACGCGGTGGCACCATCGCTGCGGGTCGCATGGATCCGGAGCCGCCAGGCGCGCCGACCCCAGAACAAAGTCGTCCAGGGCGCGTAACGGTGGCAGCCGCACCTCCGACATCCTGCCGGTTAATGTGGCTGGACCAGCCAGGAGGGGGCCGGACTACAACAACCGTTACGCCCCTCGCCACCGCGGGGCACACCGGGAAATAGAGTCTGAGTCGGGCAGCTACTTTACTAACCTAGGTGGATTGCGCAGGGGCGGCGACGCATGTGACCGGAAAAGCAACTAACACGCCGCTCCGGAAAGCAGCAAAGGCTGCCGGGAAATCAAGCCTCTGCCAAGGAGCGAGACGTTCCCAACCTTTAAAGCTGCTATCCACCCCCGCGCGAGGCGCCGCAGGGGCTGCTCCGGGCGGTGCCTGCAGCTCAAGCACAAAGTAGCCAGCCAGATAAGAAAGGAGGGACTGTCACGAGGATCCGAGTTGGATTCCACCTTCTTCCTGTCAGCGTCCAAGACGGTCACATTTCTCCTGGAAACTCCATGCCCCGCCCCTAAGGTCAAGTCATAAATGCCATTAAGGGCCTTTTATTCGTATTCATCACATCAGAGATCATCTCTTCCTGGGAAGCTTATAAAAAATCCCCAGTTTGGATTAGGCCACTCCCTCTGGGTCCCTGACAGTTTCTTCCAGGTTAGGGATCCCAAGGGGTCTCTGCCTTCCTGGGTGCCTGGCTTGGCCCTTGGGGCACACAGTCATCAGTAAGTGCTGGGGGAAGTGAGCTCTTTATTTAGACATAGCTCTGCTGAGTGGAAAGTGGGCACTGGCCCCATTAATGCTTGCTGGCTGGTAGCGTCCAAGCATGCCCCACTGCCAAGGCTCAGCTCTGCAGTCTGCCACTGTAGGTCCCTAGCACAGCCCCCAGAGTCCTTAAAAGTCATCATCATCACAGATGTCAAGGTACACGTCGAAAGCCTCTCTGTTGCAGTTTCCATCAGGAGTGAAGACATATTTGTGGAAGGTCCCATCTACGCAGATGGCTGGGGGAGGGGGGTGGTAAAAGGTCAGAGGCTGCCACACTCACAGGCTCCAATCCTCTCAGGCATCTCAGGACCTAGGATCTGCCTCCAAGCCTTTGCCTAGTGCTGTCCCCCTTACCGATAATTAATCTGAGCCTCACATGGCCCTAAAATTCTTTCAGGTCCAACCGGCAGACCTTTGCCCCATGCAGTACCCCCAACCAAGGGGCTATTCCCACTCACCAATGACAGAGTTGACGTTCTTGGAAGTATTGCGACCGAAGGCGCAGATGCAGGCTGACTCAGCAGGCACAGTGAAGCTCGCCAGGCTCCACTGAGAGTCCACGTACTGCCCAATCATGGGCCCCACCTTGCCCACGCGAGCCAGCCTGCAGGTAGCACTGACTAAGCCAAGGTACGGTAAACGGGCAGGGGGACAGGGACACAGTAGGGTAGGGAGGGGGTACTCACGCGGAGCGGCGGTTGAGGCGGGTATCCTTGAGAGCAAAGATATGGACGGTGCCCTTATCACTGGAAGCGCAGAGAAAGGAGGAGTCGTGGCTGAAGTTAATGCTAGAAGACAGATCAGCAGTGATGCCCCCATGTCATGTGGTGGTGTGGGTTCACCAGCCCACCATACATACCCTGTGCTCACCAGTAGAGGGTAGCCGGGTCAGTGCCTCGGCGGAGCTCCACCAGTTTCTCCTTGGATTGTGTGTCAAAGAGGCGAATAAGAGTACCCTTCTGGGAGGCTGAGGCCACTACTGTGCCTGGCTGGTTCAGAGATACACAGGCTATGTCACTCTGATGTGCATTGATGGTAAAGGGAGCAGATGAGGTGCCAGGCTTCGTGCTCGACAGGTCCTGGAGTAGGAGGGAGTCTGGGGTTGAGGTGGTATGGAGGGAAGGGGCTGATTCTACTAGGAAAGCCAGTCCACCCACCTACCCACCCTTGTCGACTGGATGGCTCACCACAAGTTGCAGACTCCCGCACTTGTGTCCCGGGAAGACTAACAGTTGCTTCTCCAGGCTGGGGCAGAGGTCACAGAGCCCTAGGGTGTGAAGATAAAGAAGGATGGGTGGCTGGAGAGGAGGCAGCATCTCAGAATGGACAGAGCTGGATGAAGACCAGATTTCAACCCTCCATGATAAGCTGAACCCAAAGAATCCTCAGGGGGCTCAGCTCAGCTGCACACCTCGCCAGCTAGGTAGATTCCCTTCCTTGCTCTGCAGCTGTGGAATCTAGTAGGCTGTTATGACAGCCCCAGGAGGCTCACGGATCCCTGACACACCCACCCATGTCCTCACAAATTGTTTCTGCTCTGCCACTGGGGCACCCAGAGGTGGGGCAGGGCTGGAGGTGGGGAGAAATGGCTGTGAGCTGAAAAGATGGAGATGAGTGTGAGCATCTCCCTGCCTCTTTCCCCGATTCTCTGTGTGTGTGTGTGTGTGTGTGCCCCTTCCTTTCTTTCCTCATCTCTGCCCCTCTGCCCCATCCACTGTTTCATGCCCTTACACCTGTGTATCTGAGCCCTCTCACCCTTGGGGTTGTCCCGAGTATCAAACTCAAACAGCTTTCGGGGATTGTCGGGGAAGGAGTACACATAGATGCGGTTCCTCAGCACGATCACGATCCTGTGGATATCACACAACACAGGATGGCTGTGAGGGGGCGGCGGGATGCCCTAGGGAGGACTAACCCTCTCACCTGCTGTGGGGACCTCCTACCTCCCACCCCGGTCCTCCTCAGGCTCACTTGTCATGGCGCATGCGCACAGAAAGCACTGGCTTGGTGAAGGTGAACTCCAGCACCAGCTTCTCCTTGGAGTCCTTGCCCTCCCGGGCATCGTCCCAGATCAGCACTGCTGGGCAGGTGGGTGGGTTGTCGGGGCCAAGGTTTAGGGTAAGGGCAGCCCTGGTGACACGGGATCCACCTCTGCTTCCCAGCGACCTCAACCTACTTGCTTAGCCTTTTACTAAACACCCAGTAAGATACTTGCACACCATGAGCACTTGTGGACATGATCCCTGAGAGAAGCATTCTAGACTGTTACATTCATCTACAGATGAGGAAACTGAGGTTCAAAGTGGTTGAGTGTCTGGCCAAGGACCTCACAGCCCATCAGCAACCAAACAGGGACTCACACTCAGGCCTATAACTTCCCCTCAGTAACTATTTCTGTCTCCAGAGTCCTAGTCCAGGCACCCTGGAGATTTCCATGAGGAATCCTAGGGCTCCATGACTCACCTAGGGCAACTCCTGCCCTGTCCAGGTGGTATCAGCAAGAAAAACCCTTAAAGCAAGGTAGCACATGAGGCTCAAGCCAAGGGGGTATTGGGAAGATGGCTCCAAGATTTGATAACCTATTGCTTGTGTGACCTTGGATGAGTCACTTAACTGCACTGGGCCTCAGTTTCCTCACTGGTAAAAAGGGGGATAATGATCCTTCTTATCCCATAGAGTTACTGTGAGGATTAAATGAGTTAATATATGTAAGTGCTTAGGGCAGTCTCATGCTCACAGTAACAGCTCTAGGTCATGGCACACAGGAGGCACTCAATCAGGGTTCTTAAAATGAAAACAAAGCACCAAGCTTCTCAAGCTATAAGATCCATGACTTCCAAGCTGTAGGCCTCCTCACTGTGTGACTCTGAAGTACTCTGATGTCTTCATCTGCCAGTGCCTTGGGGTGCCTGTGGGAGGCCAGGAATCCGAGAAATCTGGGCCAAAGGGCAGGATGAGGGCACTTACCTGAGATCTCTGAGAACTTGGGGCTACTACCACCGCCCACCAAGGCCAGAAGGTTGGAGCGGTGCAGCATCTCCACCAAGCCCATGCTGCCCACCTGCTCGTGGTCTGGACAGGGACCAGGGTGTCAGTGGAGGTGGGAGCCAATGCCCAGGCCAGCTCTTCTGCCCATTGCCCCTCCCCTGCCAACAGCTCACCCAGATGCCCCTTCTCCATCAAGGGCTCCACGTTGTAGATGCGCACACCTGTCTCCATGGCGCAGCAAAAACAGCCTGGGAGATGGAAGGAATCCGGACTGCCTTAAAGAATGCCCAGGTAGGAAGCTGGGGGCCCATGGCCCACTTCTGACCCCTCTTTCCCTCGCTCCCTCCCGCAAGGGTCCAGGCCCAAGCCTCTCTCACTTTGGTCTTGGTTGAAACGCAGGCTGGTCACTCCTCGAAGTGGCTGTTGAGTCATGGTCCAAGATTGTTCCCCTGGACACAAATGGGATAAAGATGAGAACAGTCCTGGAGTCTCACCTCCAAGTTCTGCCCCAACTGAAATCCTCCTCCTCTCACTCTGCTAACTGCTGACTGGAGGGACGGCAAAAAAGATAAAAATAAAAAACGAACAAACAAACGAACAAAAAAACAGGCTGGGCGTGGTGGCTCCCGCCTATAATCCCAGCACTTTGGAAGGGCGAGGCGGGTGGATCACCTGAGCTCAGGAGTTTGAGACCCGCCTGGCCTACGTGGTCTCTACTAAAAATACAGAAATTAGCTGGGTGTGGTGGTGCATGCCTGTAATCCCAGATACTTGGGAGGCTGAGGCTGGAGAATCGCTTGAACCCAGAAGGCGGAGGTTACAGTGAGCTGAGATCGAGCCATCGCTCATTGCCTGGGTGACAGAGTGAGACTCCCTCTTGGAGGAAAAAAAAAAAAAAAAAAAAAGAGAGAGTCCCAGGATTTCTGCTCTAAGCTCCCAAGATCCCAGACAGCAAGGCCAGGAACCCTCCCTCTTTCAGATTTGGCCAGCTCCAGGACTACTACACTGACGTGGACCCCACACCTACTCATTACATGCTGGCCCTCACTGACTGGTCAAGAAGTAATGTGATAGGGGGTAACCCTGAGGTATCTCCTCCCCACCCCCAGCCAATCTTGACCCCAATGCCAGACATGGCCTGGAACCACTCCAAACCCATTTCTCATCTTCACACCTGACCTAGCACCGGACTCTAGCTATCAATAAATAGACGAAAGTGGGCTAGGGCATCCACTTCTTGTACCTCCCTGACCTGGCCCTGAGACTTCTATGCTTGGTTTGCCATCCCCAGGAACTCCTCTCATATCTTTCTAGCTCTACCCCAACCTATTCCACCACCCGCGTCCTCTCACACCTTTTCCCCTTACTGGCTTCCCCAAACCTCTTCAGGATCCCATGCCTACTTGGGATGACCCCTTCTCATGCCTCAGTAACTACCATCAGGGCCAGCCTAGACATTCCCCTAGGTCTGCTTATGCCCTGGGGACTCTACCCTAGGATTCCCCTAGCACTCTCAATTTTCCACCCTGGGACATCTTCCTTGTGTTCTGCTGTCCTTGACTTCATCATAACCTGGCCTGGACCCAACCCCAGCAACCTCACCCATCCCCCTAAGATTCCCCTTCTAGAAATAGACCCCTATCCAAGACCCTGCTCCAGGGCACCCTTACCCTTTCAAGACCCTTGCCCAAAACAAGGCACCCAAAACTCCTGCCTAGGAGAACCTCAACCCCTAAGATGCCTGCCCAGTCCCCACCTTCCCTTCAAACCCTCAACTCCCAAGGCCTCTGCCCAGACACACTCTGTCCCCATCCTCCAATAGCCCAAATCTCCTCCCTTTCTTTTGGTTACACTCTCCACTGGCCTGCCTCATGCACATTCTTTGGACAGCTCTGCCTTGGAGCTATTCTCTGGAGAGCTACACCTTTCAAGACTCCTCTTTTGCATCTCCATTCCAAACCCCCGAGCCACCCCAAACCCTGTCCGGGATGCCTCACCCCTCTCCCAAGACCAGCAGCATGCTCGTCCCAAAGCCAGCACCCACTTAAGACCTCTGCCTTAGACCTCTACTCGAAAGACTCCCAGCCTCCCCCAGACCTCAACCAACCCTGGGATCGTGCTCCAGCTTCCTGCCGTCTTCACCGTCCTGACCTCCGTGTGTCCCTGACCCGGGCCTCAGCTGTCGGTGCCGCCCGCGGCCCGGTTTTCTGACCTCCCGGGCCTTGGCGGCCGACTTGGGTGTTTACATCAGGGCCCCACTTCCGGGGGAGGGAGCCTGCTGCAGGAAATGACTCACCCCAGCTGGAAAAAGGTTGCCACCGCCTTCCTCGCCCAGATCCCGGGTCTTCGGAGCATCGCCGGTGACAGTGGGGTCCTCCCGGGAGGGCGCGGGGAGCGGCGGAAGGTCGGCTGGGGGACCGGAGGCGAAGGGGGCTCCCCGAAGCCGAGACTGTCTGAGGGAACCGGGAAGGGTGGGGAGAGCGAGCGTGCCTTGCCCCCACGCTGAGCGAAACCAGCCGAGCCCTCAGCGCCGCGGTCACTCGCGATAGGGGAGTAAACCTCCCTGGCGAACAGGACGCGGACCTCCGCGGCGGCCGAGAGTAGCCGCCCCCGTTCCCAACACAGAGTCCTTCCAGGCTTCCAGAGGGGCTATGCTGGGGGCTCCAGGCGGGGGCGGACCTGGAGACCTTGGAAGTGGAGAAACCTCCCTGGCTCTGGGAAGCCAAGAAACGGATTTCGTTTTCTTTCTCCCCACCCTGCCCCCAACCCAGCCAGCTCGGGGGTTTTTTGTTTTGTTCTGTTTTGTTTTCTGAGACAGAGCCTTGCCCTGTCGCCCAGGCTGGAGTGCAGTGGTGCGATCTTGGCTCGCTGCAACCTCCGCCTCCCAGGTTCAAGCAATTCTCTGCCTCAGCCTCCCAAGTAGCTGGGATTGGAGGCGCCCGCTACCACGTCCAACTAATTTTTGTGTTTTCAATAGAGGGGTTTCACCATGTTGGTCAGACTGGTCTCGAACTCCTGACCTCAGGTGATTCACCCGCCTCAGCCTCCCAGAGTGCTGGGATTAAAGGCTTGAGCCACCATGCCTGGCCTCTGTTTTTATTTTTACAAAATACAAAATAGCATTTGATGGCAAAAGGTATGAATGCTTTGGGTTTAAGAAAAAAAAAAAAAAAAAGACGTCCTACTATGATAAAGTTTAAAATAATAATAATAAAAAAAGGCTAGGCTCAGTGGCTCACGCCTGTAATCCCAGCATCCAAAGGAGGCTGAGGCGGGTGGATCACTTGAGATAAGGAGTTCGAAACCAGCCTGTCCAACATGGCAAAACCCTGTCTTTAATTAAAAAAAAAAAAAAAAAAGCCCAAAATTATGTGCATACTGGAAGGATTTTTTTTTTTTTTTTGAGCCACGACTCGGATTGGAAGGATTTTTAATTAAACTTTAAGAAATAATACACAGGATTGCTTGAGGCCAGGAGTTTGAGACCAGCCTGAGCAAGACCCTGTCTCTACAAGAAAAAAAAAAAAAAAAAAAAGATGTCATGCACTCTCAGTCAAGGTGGAATAACGGCCCAAATTTGTCCTCTCACAGGAAACAACCAACTTTGCACCCGACAAAAAAAAAGAAAAATGCATGAAACAATGATTTTTTTTTTTTTTTTTTTTTTTTTTTTTTTTTTTGAGATGAGTTCTCACTCTGCGACCCAGGCTGGAGTGCAATGGAATGATCCCGGCTCGATGCAACCTCTGCCCCCCAGGTTCAAGGCGATTCTCCTGCCTCAGCCTCCTGAGTAGCTGGAACTACAGGTGCCCACCACCACACCCAGTTAATTTTTGTACTTTTAGTAGAGACGAGTTTCACCATGTTGCCCAGGCTGGTCTTGAATTCCTGGCCTCAGGTAATCCGCCTGCCTCAGCCTCCCAAAGTGCTGAGATTACGGGCGTGAGCCACTGTGCCTGGTCGAAACAATGATTCTTTTTTTTTTTGAGACGGAGTTTCGCTCTTGTTACCCAGGCTGGAGTGCAATGGCGCGATCTTGGCTCACCGCAACCTCCGCCTCCTGGGTTCAAGCAATTCTCCTGCCTCAGCCTCCTGAGTAGCTGGGATTACAGGCACGCGCCACCATGCCCAGCTAATGTTTTGTATTTTTAGTAGAGACAGGGTTTCACCTTGTTGACCAGGATGGTCTCGATCTCTCGACCTCGTGATCCACCCGCCTCGGCCTCCCAAAGTGCTGGGATTACAGGCTTGAGCCACCGCGCCTGGCCCAAACAATGATTCTTAAGACATTAGACATCAGGCACCAAAGGACATTGATCCCTGAAAGATGGGAAACAAGGTGAGCACTACAACTCTCCCAGCACACTGCCTGAGAGCTTCCATGCTATGGCACTGGAAGGGGAAACTGAGGCAGCACCTGGTGGACTCCCTAAGTTGAGGCAGTCCAGAGAGACAAGGGCACCTAGAGTTTAAAGGACAGAATGTCAGGGGAGAGGAGCACAGAGATCTGCAGAGGGTCCCCTTTCAGTATTTAGCAGAGTCCTTATCAACACATGCATATGAGCCAACTACTAAAGGCCAGGAAAAGAATCATCCAAGTGGATTGGAGGAGCAGGTCCTGACATTCACATGGAGCTTTTGAAAATAGTGCCTGCTCCCACCACCCAGACTGGAAACTCCTAATTCACAAGGCATAGAGTACACAGGAAGGTCTTGTCACGGTTGTGGGAAATAACTAGCCCTAGACTTAGTATTGTTCCAGGCTCACTTTACAAATAATAAAAGAAGACCCTAAAAGATCTGTAGAAATTGCCAGGCACGGTGGCTCATGCCTGTAATCCCAGCACTTTGGGAGGCTGAGGCAGGCGGATCACAAGGTTAGGAGTTCAAGACCAGCCTGGCCAATATTGTGAAACCCTGTCTCTACTAAAAATATGAAAATTAACCGGGCATGGTGGCGACACCTGTAATCCCAGCTACTCAGGAGGCTGAGGCAGGAGAATCACTTGAACCCGGGAGGCGGAGGTTGTGGTGAGCCAAAATGGCACCACTGCACTCCAGCCTGGTGACAGCAAAAGACTATGTCACACACACACACACAAATCTACAAGAATAACAAAGATTGATAGGAATAGAAAAAGACCCAGCTCCGAAAAAGGTAAAATTGACAATCTCTGTTACCCAAACAAAGATTACCAGGCATAAAAAGAACCAGGACGCTGGGTGCAGTGGTTCACGCCTGTAATCCCAGCATTTTGGGAGGCCGAGGACAAGTAGATTGCTGGAGCCCAGGAGTTGGAGAACAGCCTGGGAAACATGGTGAAACCCTGCCTCTACAAATAATTTGAGAAGTTCTACTATTACATTGGATATAAAACAAACAAAAAAGTTGGCTGGGCATGGTAGCACATGCCTGTAGTCCCAGCTACTCAGGAGGCTGAGGTGGGAGGACTGCTTGGGCCCGGGAGGTGGAGGCTGCAGTGAGCCATCATGGGGCCATTGCACTTCAGCCTGGGTAACAGAGTGAGACCCTGTCTCTAACAATAAATAAATAAATAAAATGAAAAGGACAGTATTCCAATGACCTAGTAACCTGTGGAAACTTGGATGAAAGTTTAGGCATTCCAGACTTGTACAAATTAATTGTATCTATGTCTCAGAGAAAATCTTCCTCAAAACATGAATTTTTTTAAACTGGGGAGATAGCTTCTAATTTAAACTGAAAATGCACACCCAAAACACAAATCTCTGAGATAAAAATTACTCTGCTCAGACCCAGTTGAGCCAGCTTTAATATAGTTCCTTTCCTTTGTTACTGGAAAGGGGTCCCAATACAGACCTCAAGAGAGTGTTCTTGGATCTCACGCAAGAAAGAATTTGGGGTAAGTCCATAGAGTAAAGTGAAAGCAAGATTATTATTATTTCAGAAGGAGTTTTGTGCTTGTTGCCCAGGCTGGAGTGCAATGGCATGATCTCGGCTCACTGCAACCTCTGCCTCCCCAGTTCAGGCGATTCTCCTGCCTCAGCCTGCGGAGTAGCTGTGATTACAGTCGGCCACCACCACACCTAGCTGGCTAATATTTTTAGTAGAGATGGGGTTTCACTATGTTGGCCAGACTGGTCTCAAACTCCTGACCTCAGGCAATCCACCCACCTCCTGAAGTGCTGGGATTACAGGCATGAGCCGCCATGCCTGGCCATGGGTATAGAGCAGCCCACAAGGCTGGTGGTTGTGATTTTTATGGTTATTTCTTTTTCTCTCTTTTTTGAGATGGAGTCTTGCTTGTTGCTCAAGCTGGAGTGCAGTGACATGATCTTGTGTCACTCCAACCTCCACCTCCCAGGTTCAAGCAATTATCAGACTTCCACCACCATGTCCGGCTAATTTTTGTATTTTTAGTAGAGATAGGGTTTCACCATGTTAGCCAGGCTGGTCTCGAACTCCTGACCCCAAGAGATCTGCCCGCCTTGGCCTCCTGTAAGTGCTGGGATTACAAGCATGAGCCACCTTACCTGGCCATATTTCTTGATGATATGCTAAACACGGGGTGGTGGATTATTCATGCCTTCTTTTTTTAGACGATATGCAGTAACTTCCTGATGTTGCCATGGCATTTGTGAACTGTCTGGTGCTGCAGGTAGGAGTGTCTTTTACCATGCTAATGCGTTACAATTAGTATATAATGAGCCATGAGGATGACCAGAGGTCACTTTCATCACCATCTTGGTTTTGGTGGGTTTTGGCCGGCTTCTCTACTACAACCTGTTTTATCAGCAAGGTCTTTATGAACTGTATCTTGTGGATGAGATAGGAGGTCTCATCCTCCTATCTGATCCTGTGATTTGGAATGCCTAACCTTCTGGGAATACAACCCAGTAGTTCTCAGCCTTATCTTACCCGGCCTTTACTCAAGATAGATTTGCTCTGGTTCCAATGCCTCTGACACCTTGGAACAATTGGCCTTTTTGGTGTGAGTCACTAAATACATCTTTCTCTAATGCATTCCAGAAAATGGATTCAGTTTGTGGATTTAAGAAGTAAGTTTTACTCTGATGTTTTAAAAAGCGCAGGAGTTGGAGACCTGCCTGGGCAATATATCGAGACCCCGTTCTCCACAAAAAGGAAAAAAAAACCAAAAAGCAGCATCCTGACTTCCGTGTGCTTTCATTTCATAACTAAAAAATGTTTTAGCTCACTGTTGTAAAGTGAAATAATAACTCTTCATTGAACATTCATGTATAGAAAAAGTATTTATTGAGTGCCTACGACATACCAGGCACATCATACTAGAAGATGCTGGGAACAGAACAGGAAGCAGAACAATATTCTTGTCCTTGATAGAAAAAGATGAAAACACACACACACACACACACACACACACACACACACACACACACACACACACACCATGGAGTGGAAAAGAAATAGGAGGTAAGAAGGGCTGGAGTCGAGATTACTATATTTGGGGTAGTCAGAGAAGCTTCTTGAATAAGGTGACATTTGAGCAGAAAAGGGAGTGAGGGAGTGAGCCTTGTGGATATGAGGGGAAGGAGCATTCCCAGTAGAAGGAACAGCAGGCTAGAGCACAGAGGCGGGAGGATCTCTTTAGCTCAGGAGTTCAAGACCAGCCTGAGCAACATAGCAAGACCAGTTCTATATATAAAAAAAGACAAACAAATTAGCCAAGGGTGGTGGTGCACACCTATAGTCCTATCTACTCGGGAGGCTGAGGCTGGGGGATCGCTTGAGCCCTGGAGGTTGAGGTTGCAGTGAGCTATTATTTTGCCACTGCCCACTCCAGCCTGGGTGACAGAGCAAGACCCTGTCTAAAAAAAAAAATTTTAAATAAAATTTTAAAAG